CTTCCTCAGGATCATCTCAGGCGGCAACAGCGTCTTCCTCCAGTAGTGACGGTGAAGAGCGTGAACAGGTAGTACAGGGTGCCAGCCACACTTTCGCGATGCTGGCTTCTTCTGGCCAGTATCACCTGGCCAAAAATCCAGGTCACGCACATTGTCAAACAAGGGCGTGACAAGTTGTTGTGCGGCCGCACTCTTTTTAAGGCCCTAGTCATCTGCGATGAGGTGAATTTTGCTCACGTGCAGATATGCATGACCTGCCAATCTGTGTGCGAGGGTCTTTTAGAAGGCAGGTGGGCCACTAAGCAGTGGACCGTAGTTTAGAAGGGCGGGGACTTCTGCCAGAAAGCTTTTCAGTTTTGTTCAGGTGTCCCTAAAGCCGTGTCTCAGTAGGTCGGCAGGATTGCAGGATGGGGCGGCTGAGCCCAGCTCCGGCAATCAGGCCTGCAGGTGCATACAGGAAGCCAGGACTGACAATTCCCCACGTATCAAAAAGACTGTCCGCTTTGCACTAACCGTAAAGACTGCATGCTTTAAGGAAAAGAAATTGGAAACTGCTACATTCTGGTAGATTACGGTGTATTATGGTCTACTAGGATTATCATTTCAAGGCTGCCCCCTCTCGGTTGATAGGCCGTGTGCCTGATGGTTGGGCTTAGGGTTTGTTCAGAGCCTGGGTTTCAGTTTGGGTTTAGGGTTTGGGGTATTGTACTTGGCGCTACCTGACCGGCATGTAGAACCTGGACAGGTGTATTTTGGTGTCCATGGGGTCCTACAGCCCAGAGTCTTGGCAGCAGACGTGTCAACTGAAACCAGGAACAAACCTGAAAGCTGCCCTGGCCTTTGATTTAATCGCCAGCGAGAGTATCCCCCAGACACCCCCGGCCCCCGCAGGCCTCCCCCCCAAGATCCCCTGCCGTCTGTGCAGAACCCAGCAGACCATCGGAATCATGCGTACTGGGAGGGGGTAGGGGGAGGATTAACTTCCTTTCCTGATCTCCGGACCTGGATCTAAACGCCCCGGCCTCCGGCCTCGGCGGATATTAGTAGTTAGCATTATTCTACATAAAGTATCATTGTTATCTCCTGCTATTCTTGTTACCATTATTTTTGTTGTGGTGGTTGTTATGCTGATTGATTTTTGTCATTATGAGTGTTATTCCCAATATTTTTCGTTTTATTGCCATTATTACAAGAGGCCTGCTGCGCTTCTCAAAGTCTCACAAGTTCGTGTAAGGCCAGCAAGCAGGCTTTTGGGGAAATCAAGTACCCGGGAGTGAAGGTCAAGAGCCTCAGCTGCAGAAAACACACATTCACAGGCCCATGCTAGCATAGGTCTGGGTGGATCGCAATTTGGAAGGCTGCAAATACATGGTCTTCATGGTTTTCCGAAAATCCTTGTCTATGATCTATAATATCGAAAGCCAGGTATAACATCACTTGTCAAAAGCCCTGCGCACGCAAGCTGCGCGCAAGCACGGCGCAAGGTTGGCGCACGCGTTTGACTCAGGAACCATGGCTTAACGCAAGCAATGATGTCAACATCAAAAATTCAAAATTACTCACAATTACACGGCGAATCCGCGCAAGCTCCGCGCAAGCTCCGCGCAAGCTCCGCGCAAGCTCCGCACAAGCGCGCATAGCTGTTGGCAGCCTCCAGCCCATTCTCATTCTGGCTCCCTGAGTGTTTAGCAGTGATGCGGCAACATTCAATAAGTGGTCGGTTGTTGGCCAGCCTGGCCATTTAATTAGGCTTCATAGCAGTATAAGCCATCCTAGTTTGTCAGCGTGATGAGAGTGGGCGAAAACCATTTTGAGCCAACCTGCCCGCTCGCGAGCTCTGCGCAAGCACGGCGCAAGCCCCCAATTCGAGATCAAGAACTATAGGACGAGCCCCAATTTTGGGCGTTAAAATTTCGCAGCCAAAATACTTGAAGGGTACCATGAGTTCGACAACCTTTCGTTTCCAGATGCGTGGCTCTTATCAAACTTGTGATGTCTGGGGTGAAGTGGTTGCACGCCCACTTAATGATAGCGCTGGGCAGGCCAACAAGCGTTGAGTTGAGTGTAAGCTGCGAAGCAGATTACAGCAGACCCATGGTCAAATCTTGCGCAACAGCAACAGCAACAACAACAACAGCAGCAATGATACTCATACAGACTCCGCTCATAGCTCGTTCAGGAACGGAGAGTCGCCCTACGACGCGGCTGCAAGGCTCTGCAAAAGCAGGAGCGAGAACCGACGTGCCGGGTTGTAGTTTGAGTGCTGTTCTTAAAGTCGCAGGGTTCATGTGGGGTATAGGGTTTAAGGTTTAGGATCAAGGGCTCAAGGCTTAGCATGTTTGTGCTGCATGGTCCTAGTCCGCATACATACCTTGCAGATCCTTGCAGGCTCACGGCCCTCTCTGACTTCATCAAGGTGGAGACGGCATCCTTCGACGCGAAGGAAGAAGAGGACTCACAAGCCTCCGCAACTTTGGCCGGCATGGACACGACGTACAGTTCCTGCAGTTTGGAGAGCGGAGGACATCTCAAAGCGAACCGGTTTACCATCCCGGTACCTGAGAACAATCTTCCGTGGGCACATGAGCCCCCTGGCGCCTCGGAAGATAAACCCGCGCCACAGGCTAATGTCCAAGTATGAACTCCACCAGAGCTGAAAGCTGCCTTAGCTGGACGCTAGCAGCCCCGTCCCTCGCCACTCTAGTGTCCCTGATTGACATTCCCCCAAGGTGCCTTGGGGCGACTACATGACGTTCATTCCAAGCCGGGCATCCAACATCTCCATGAAGCTCACCTCACAGCATAGCAGTCTGGCACGGCGTTTCCTTCGCGCTCACCCCAGGCCCCTTCGCAGCACAGCAGTTGCCTCAAACCGGTTTCGGCTAAGCTTCCTGGATCCCGTGGAGAAATTGCTCAGTGGGTACACTCCCAAGTTTTGTCGCCACAGACATATCCTCTTGGAGCTTGTCATCAGAGTTGTTCATAGGCAGAACGGGCCAAAACCAGGCAACACATAAAGGCAAGATGGTTGAAGGCTTTCTCCTGGAGGCCCATGCGCCAACAGTTAAACGTTCTTGAAGGATCAGCTTATGATCGAGCATGATTCCTCACCAAAGTAGATAGGCTTGCTTGGGCCTCTTATGTCTTCTTCAAGGTCTGTCAGTATGGCAGAGTGATCTGTACTGAAGATCTCTCTCTCCCTCTTGCTTTTCATGCCTTCCTTTCTGTGTCTGTCCGTGCATCCGTCTGTCTATCCATCCGACCATCTGTCCGTCTTTATCTCTCTCTCTCTCTCTCTCTCTCTCGGTTGCTACTCCTAGGTTGCCAACAAGAAATCGGATTCTCGGACTCGTAAAGTATGCTCTAGCAGTTTCCCTGTGGATGCTGCCGAAGAGAAGGGTTGGGTGTCATGAGATCACAGTTGGTCGGAGGCTACCATCACTGAGCAACAGCCTGTGCACAGGAACATGTTCGCTGCTGTGAGCATTGCAGCAAAGCGATGCGCATGCTTGGCTTCTGCTTCGCATCCAAGGTCTCCGCCTCTTTCTCCGGACATCTTCGCGTTCAAGCAGGAGCTGATCTTGCTGAGTCATGGAAGGACTAGGAAGCATGACAACCCAAGCATTCTGAATTCGGGTAGGCATTCAATCCCAAGGGTTCCCAAGAGCTTCAGGATTCACAGCAGCAAGCTTTGCAGCGCAGGACGTTGACAACTCTGAAATCACGCTCTATGCCTGGACCGGGTTGAATGCAAAAGCAACAACTTGTACCAAGCAGAGTAGCTCATGCGCAAAAGTCTGCGCCGGCACTTTCCTTGTTAGCGCAACGCGAGTTCCTGTTGTCTCGAACGAACTCTGTTTAAAGACATGCAGCCATGCCCACAGCGCAGCGTAGTCATGTGCTTGGCCACTCACGCCCTACCGAGACATGAGAGTGTCAACGCAGGATGCCGTCATGGGAGTTTGAGTACCTGCGCTACACCTCGCAGGGCGAAGCCTTAGTGGACTTCTGGGTCCAACAAGGTCCCTACGGCCGACTGTGATTTGGGAGCGTGCATGTTTTCGGACTACCCCTGCGGGATTGCAACAGGCGTGAGTTCTGTTGTAGTGTGCAAACGATACAGCCGCTAATTTATTCAGAAACCTGTCAGGAGACTACTCAGTGCTGCACCCGGATGGAAGTGTTCCTCGTTGCTACTCGCCGGTCGCCTGGCATTTATTTGGCAGTGAATTAAAGGCTGGGCTTGAAACACAGAACCTCCTAGCTTTCGACAGGCACCTTGCGACAAAGTTGTTTTGTGGGACATACCTGTGCCGAGCATTCGGCACAAAGGTATGTAACAACAGACCACACCAAAGGGGTGTGTGGGCCCCGCGACAAAACGGGTTTTTGATCCACAGTCACGTATGCCAGTACAGTCTGACGAAGGGCCAACAGTAAGGCACGCGGATCTGTAACATGATGCCTTTGTGGCATACACGGTGTTTTTCAAATGTAGACCCCATAATATGATAACCCTTATTATGGGAACCCCCCAAAAAGGTACCCCTAATTTTGGGAAAGCCTCAATGCTATAAATTAATCTTAGGTAACCCCCATTATCCCCTTTAAAGGTACCCCTAATTTTGGGAAACCGTCAACCCTTTATAATATGTGACCCCCATTTTCCCATGTAAAGGTACGCCTAAGCTTGGGAAACACCTGAAAGCGGACTGGAGGTGACGGAGCGGCCCAAGCCCCTGAGGCCTACGATGACAAGCAAGCTCCCTGGCCGAAACGACCAATTACTGGTATTACATGGTATTACTATTCGTACAGATTAATAGTCATCTATATTTTATCGTTATTACTAGTATATTACTATCAGATATTCTCAGTAAAGGATGACCTATTTCCTTACGTTTTGTAGCCCTCTTCCGTAAGTAGCCTCCTTCCAGACTAGCAGGACAGCGCTTTCAGCGCAACGGATTGCGCAGGTGGCCAAGAACCTGGCCTCTCGAAGGGACCGGCAGGGGATGGGAGTCATGGGAAAGGTCTTTGAACTTCACTCGGTGAGAGACCAAGCTGTTACCTTCGGGCCTGCAGGAGAACACGAGAAGGAACTACAACCGTGTCTCAGTGTTGAATCCGGATCAGCATTGAATGGCATTGATAGCCTTTTCGTGCCAGCGCGGCACAAGGCAGTTCCTCACTTAGTTGATCCCCGGCTCGAGAAAAGCTCAGTTCCACCACCCCCAACCTGGTAAACTTCTTCATGACAGCCGCAAAGAAATTCTCAAGTCAAACAACCCACTTGAGCGGCAGTAAGCATTTGACCGCAAAAGGGCCATAATGGCTTGCTAATGAACTGCGAGGGTGCGAGGCGCATCACAGTTTCTGGCCCAAGTTCTTTGGATGCAGTCAAGCAGGAATGCACAGACAGCATGAGCAGACAGGACCATTTGTACAAACAACAGGTGCGATCAGTATGTATTACCGTTCGTGTAATTACTATGATTATTGCTGCTATTGTCAATTATTACTATTATTGATACGAGTATTATCAGAGAATGTGCTGACGGACTGCTTCCCACTTGGACTGGCTGGGGAAGCTTCCCGAAGCACCAGCGCAGCGTGGAATGCGGGACCACAGTGTCCTATCCCGACCAGGATGGTGGTAATAGTAAAGCTTGAATTAGCCGTGTTGATATTATTGGTACGAATTTATATACTGATGGTTGTGGGGGTGGCACACGCTTGCCATCACATCATTACTTTTCCTTGGTCAGGCTGGTCATTAGAGTTGCAAGCTCCCCCAAAGGGGCCGGCTTGAGTCATGACAGCACCGCGGCTGGATGAAAAGATGGTGCCCTTGTCTAGCTTGTTGCACCACGCTGTTGCACGGGGCAGCACTCTTTCCTGAGTTGGGAAAGAAGAACTATAGAGCCAGTGCCACAATAAACCCCAGCTTCTCTGACACTCTTGTTGAATTTCGACCACTCCTGGTTCATATGATGTTCAGTCTGCTTTTTCTCCGAGCCCAGCTGTTAAGGCCAGCGCTACTGATCCTCTACGAGGACGGTGACTAATCGAAGTCTGCAGTTGTCCGACCAATAAAGGATCCCAGAATTCCACCTGTTGCAGGGCTACTTCAGCCCAGCCCAGAGTATCGGGTGGCTGCCTCAGCGCTGGTATATGTGCCCAGAGTTTACCCGCTTGATGCCCAGAAGATTGTATGGAGCATGGGCAGGATGTGGCCTTTAAGTGACAGAGGTACCCCATTATAATGTAGTAGTGTAGTAGTTTCCATTTTCTTTTCCACTACCGATGTGTAACCCCAATATATAGCATTCTGTCACTATGCTATGCCCAGTCGAACATGTTGGCTTGGTCTTAGGCAGCGGCAAAGCAAGGCAGCAGGCCTGTGGACAGGGTAATAAGAAAGCTTTGGTGACCCCAACACCCAAACTTGGGACCCTATAAACATCATATGATACCCTATAAACATCATATGATACCCTATAAACATCATATGTTAGTCATAGGGTCCTATTTTGGGGGTTGGGGTTACCAAAATCCCTTTGTTATAGGGAAGGTAATTGAGTCTTTGCCCACAGCAGGACCTCTGAGAACTGAGTTGCGTTTTGTTCAGCACAGTACGGTTCTTAATTGTCGGTATGGACCCTAGCATCCCAGCATAACGTGGTGAGATGCCGCGAGCAAAGTAGCAAGAGTAATGTGCATGGTTCATCCGGGAGGCAGGCAGAAGGATGCCAGGACGTCACTGAAGCAGTCTTCCATGGCCTTCCACCCAGAGAGCTGCGGAAGGGATTCCCGCTTAGTATCATCAGCTGGCAATTGACGATAGATGCCACATTCCGTTATCCACCAGTGTTCACACAACACAGGGCCCTGAAGCCATGTCTTTCGGAGCTTCTGGGCTCAATGCCTTGCTTGCACCACGGCACCCACACAGCGCTCAGAATAAGACATGCAATAGGGTGGAGCAACTTGATAGCATGTAGCTCAGCCAACTGCAGCATCAAAGCGCAGCATGTTCTGCCTCATCTTTTCACCCTTCCCACTCCAGCTTCAGCAACTTGTGGGAGGATTGCGGACAGAAAGCTTAGACTCGTTCTCAGTCTTAGCTTGTTTTGGTCTTGCATGTGCAGTGCATAACTCTGACATGAGCCAACATAAGTAAGCCTGCAGATGTTGCCAGGCTTGTTCCAAAACCACTTGGCTTTTCCAGCTGATCTTGCTCCATGGCATATCGGCCATGCACTGTCCTTGCAGCTGTAGCCATTGGCCATCAGCGGGAGCGGCGCTGTGCATCTCTGCTGTCATTGGTGTTTGCAGTTTGTGTACAGCTGGACGCTTCACCCCTTGCAATCTGCAGCATAAAGGGGCATCACTCATCATTCCACCTTGACGAACTCTTCGAGTGCACGGTAGCCTCCGTATCCTCGAAGACCGCGCCAGGCAACCAAATGTTCCACAGAAGCCTCCGAGAAGCTGTCTGCCAGATATGTGGAAGCACAGCCGCCCAGCATGCACCTTGAAAGTTGGTCACTGGCGGGGCTCCAGCTTAGGACAACTGCCTTACAAATAAGCGTGCTTGCTGAGCTCTGAAACGGTCAGCGCCCACTATACAACAGGCTTCTGTTCAACTCCCTCCTTGATTCAGGTTCATGGGCCTGCACAAGAAAGGCTTCGTCAGACAAGGAGACTGGAGACTTACGCCGCAACAAGACTGTTGGGGCTAGAGGGCATGAAGGAATCAGAGCAGCATGTATGACAGCGCACTGCCGTGCACAGAGTGTCTAGCCCCGAACAATGTTACATGCCAGGATGCAGCATCTAGTTAATGTTCATGTGCTGAAAGTATCAGCATGCAAGGCCATCACACATATCAGCTTGAGCAAGCTTTACAAGGCATCATGTCAAACCATTCACATGAATCAACATGTTGAGTCGGTTCACTGGAGCCTCTTGGGAGTTTCTCAAAATTAGGGGTACCTTCTCGGGGGTCCCTATACTAAGGGTTATAGTATTGGGGTTCCCCTATTTACGAAAAAACTACCTCTTGAGTGTGAGGCATCCTGTCACGCTCTGGCCGCCACTGAGCTTCAGCAGCATCTGGCAGACTGGCCGGTATTTTGCGAACCTGGTGAGACCTTCTGTGCCTTGTCCAGGATTGCGGGCTTGTATTTAGCTATGAAGGGTTGTGACGCTGAGTTTTCGAGTCTAGAATGGAGCTGGGTTTTGGAGTGTACGGAGATTGGAGGACAGTCCGCTGTGTTTGGGGTTAGCTTATGACCAATGATGCATATTGGAACTTGTACTACTCTACGGCAGATTACTTGTTTGCCTTGAGGATCGCATTGTCTTCCGGCTTCAGGTGTCGTGAGCATAACCACCACTGCTGATCAACACTTCATCTTGGAACTTCTCAGATTCTCAGTTGCATGGTCCTTTGAAGGCTTACAGTATCTGATCTCTTGATGATGGGGTGGCCAAAGCAAGCTGTGGATGTAGCTCTGTCCTGGTTGAGGTAGGGGGTTTCCCAAAATTACATTGTGAGGGTCCCTCTAGCAAGGATTCTAATATTTGGGGTTCTATCTTGCGATACCCCTATTTAGGGAAAATGCCAGGTGACGGTGAAGGTCTTTGACGCCAGAGAACAGGAATCTATCGAAGGGCTTTCGTGGCTTTGCTGCAGCCTGAGATCCCCGCATGTTTAGGGTTTTAGGGTTCAGAAGACAGCCACCTGTCCATTTCACTGTTGTACGCCCACATGAGGAGCTATAGTCTAAACTCCCTGATGGCGGTTGTATAGGGGATTATATAGAGGAGTATTCTAAAGGTTACGAAGGGGGATGCTAGGAGTTTGGACTAGTTCTGAAGCGATCAGCCCAACCAGCACAGCCAGTTTACTAACAGCTGCGACAGCACCAAGAGGAAGCGGGAGTTCTTCGAGAAGTACGGATTCGTGCTGTTACAACGGCCCACAAAGATGCAGGCTCCTTTGCAACCGTAATTAGATTGCTTGCTGCATGCGAGTTGAGTCTGGAGAAACTCGAGCACATCTGGAAGGCCGAGGATTGGACAAAGTGTGCGCCAAAGACGCTCGACCTCTCCAACTTCACAGGCCGCTGCGGACTTGGTGATCGTGACATGAGCCTACCCTGTGTTAAATGGAGGTATGGGCATGCCAAAGATTGAGACTGCCATCTCACGCATCTATGCCCCAGAGGTGGAGGACATGGTCAGGCACGGAGAATTTATCCTATCCCACCTTCTTGACACTGCTTAAACCTCAGTGCCCAAGCTTGCGCAGGGAACTGATGCCAGCTGCAACTCGCGTAGAGTTGGCGACCTGGATGGTGTTGAGCTGTTGCTATCGTCAGATGTTGGGTTTCAACCGTGGCACCTGCAGAATGGTCATAGAGCTGAGGACCCGCTCTGCGCACGGCGGGGTCCTGGCACAAAGAATCCAACGTATTCCTTCGCAGTCCATCAGGAGCATGCCAAGCCCATTTTGACCAGGGTTACCTAAGGTTATTCTGGGTTGCTGTTAAGGAACTTAAATTAAGTTACCACAATGGGTATATATAGTAAATAATAGGGTTTCCCCAATATAGTAACTTAAATTAACTTCCTTAACAGCAACCCAGTATTTGCTTAGCAGACATCTTAGGCTCTACGTTGCCCCGACAGTTCCTAAGCAGGACTATGGTTTCACAGCCGACGACTGGCCGCTGGCGGACAATGGCTTTAAAGCAAAGTTTGACGAACCTGACGTCAAGGGCACCTCAGACGCAGCAATGTCTTGAGTGGTGTGCCTTGCTAGTCCCTAAATCTGCTGCAGGAGCAAGACTCCTTGTATCCTCCTTATTAAGCTCTTTAATAGCAACTCTATATTTTGTCCCCCATATATATATATATAACTTATGTAACTAAGCCCGAGGAGTAGGTTCTTGGAAGCTCTTGCCCGCTTCCCGCTGGCAGGCTTCATGGCCGTGAACTTCTGGCGGCCAGTGCAGCCAATGAAAGGTGCCCCTCTAATTCCCAAAACCAAGTTCTGGGGTAGCAGCTCGGATGTGAGGCATGCTTTGCGTATCTGGCTTTCTGTGCTTCTCTTCAATGTCAGTAGTATGGGTTGTCCATGTTCATTTCTGTCGGCACCATGTCATTTCCTTGCGTTCGCAGCTTTTTTATGCGGTCAGGACCTGTAAAGAAAGCGCCGCTGGCGGTCTGCGATCCCAAAAGTGTGAAGATGGAGGCTCAGAGGGGCATGCGCTCTGAGCTTAGGCCTTGATGATAGCTACCAGCTAGCGTAGGACACCGTCCCCATCAACATACGCTGGGATGAGCTGGGCTATGTGAAGATGTTGGCTCTGGCTCATGATGACGAGCAGCGCTGGTACTACTATCCGGACACCAGCTTTTAATGAGTGAGTGCTCAACAGAGTTACTTGATGGTGCCCAGATTGGGTTCTGATGCCGGACTTCTTTCCCCTAGCCTCGCCTGCGCAACTTAATCTTCAGCGTGAGTTATCAGGGAGCAACCAAAGCCCAGGGAGGATTCCCAACCCTTTGTTTGAACTGGAGCAGTCTCAAGAAGATGCAGGATTATGTTCTTGATTTCCAGAGACCAGCTAGTCGATAGTTGCCACACCACCTACCCCCAGGTTAGTCTCCATCCTCGCAGGCGAAACTTAATCGGGTGAATGAGGGAGCATCGCTAAGTAAATCTACCTGGCCTTTGTAGGACATGACGGTGGACGAGGTCCTTGTCTTCAAGTCGTTCCAGTACTTCAAGCGCTACTTGGGCCAGATCAGCCTTCCAGCCTTCCCACCACAAATTTCCTCCCAGGCCCTGTGGAATCCAGCTCTGAATGAGGCCAGGAGGGCCCGGAGCTGAACACCTGCTTCCACACCGCCTTCGAGGATACGACCGCACCCTGGCGAGGGGTCATCATGGATCATGATTGTTGGGACATCCTGGGTCCTAGGACTTGAGTGACTTGAGCCCAGGCCTGCAAGGCTTCATTTTTTGCTTGACTGATTCTTCTCAGCCCTTGCACGTTGACTTGCAAGACCTCTCGCTGTCACCATGAGAATATGTATAATATGACATACGGATTGACGTATTCCACCATCAGGCACCAGCCAACGCGGAGCCACGTCAGAGCGCTGAGTACCGTGTGCGCGTGTGGTCGCGGTCCCAGAATTTGCCAAATCAGGACTCCAATTTCATTATAGCATATTATAGCAGTTTCCATTTTCTTTTCCATTATTACTATACTACCCCCATATAACCCTATAATCCCTATATAACCCCATTCTAGTAGTTTCCATTTTCTTTTCCATTATTACTATACTACCCCCACATAACCCGATAATCCCTATAGAACCCTAAAGAATCCCTATCATCCCTGTAGTTTCCATTTTCTTCTCCGTTATTACTATACTACCCCTATATAACCCTATAATCCCTATATAATCCTATAGAATCCCTTTAATCCCTGTAGTTTCCATTTTCTTTTCCATTCTTACTATACTACCCCCATGTAACCCTATAATCCCTATATAACCCTATAGAATCCCTATAGAACCCTATAGAATCCCTATATAACCCTATAGAATCCCTATAGCCTGTGCAAAGGTTCTAGCTGATTCCAGCTCACAGCCGAAAGCTGGCCGCGGCTGACGACCGCCTGCGCGAGTCAAGTGCAAAAGCCTGGGCTGCTGTTAAGGAACTTAAATTAAGTTACACTAATGGGTACAAATAGGGTATATTGGGTTTATGGTACATAGGGTTTAGGGTGTAGGGACTTAGATTAAGTTACCATAATGGGTGTATATATATATATACATATAGAGTAAATAATAGGGTTTCCCCAATATAGTAACTTAATTTAAGTTCCTTAACAGTAACCCAGAAGCCTGTTCTAGTGGATGGTGGCTGGCGGATCGGGGCACCAGAGGCTCAGGGACATTGCAGTTGCCCATGGCCTGGCATACCACCAGCAGCTGACAGCATCAGCAAGGGCAGCAAGGGAAGGGATTTCAAGGCAGCAGCCACATCAGGCAACATAACAATGAGCTACGGTCAATATCATACCCCTATGACTTCCTGTATGAACTATATAGTCAATATAGTCTAAACTCCTTAAAAGGAGTTATATAGGGGATTATATAGGCCAGTATTGCAGGATGATATAAAGTTTACTAGGGGGATACTAGGAGCTCAGCTGATACACCCATATCCCTGTATCCCTACATGGCCCCTGTTTGAGTTTGCAGGATCAAAGCATTTGGCTTTCCCTAAACCCTGTAATCCCTATATGACCCCACTATAGCAGTTCGATTTTCTTTTCCATTATTACTATATTACCCCTATGTAACCCTGTAATCCCTATATAACCCCATTATGGTAGTTTCCATATTCTTTTCCATTATTATTATACTACCCCTATATAACCCTATAATCCCTATATAACCCTCTAGAATCCCTATAATCCCTGTAGTTTCCATTTTCTTTTCCATTATTGCTGTATAACCGCATCTTTGGCTCAGGTGTTGTCGGCCTGATCTTGCAGGGCTGATACCCCGTTAGGAGTGCATTTGAGAAATCCCGTCCACCATGATGCGCCGGCAGTTTGCACAGATGATCCTAAAGGTCTAATACTTGCAGTTGGGTAGGTTTGAAACCTTTGGCGCCGAGGTGGACAGGATAAGTAGTGAATTTACTTTTTGAGCCCGATTCCCTCAATCACAATCGAACCCGGACAGCCAGAGGCTCAGCTTTTAACATGTTCAGCTGCGCCTTGTTCTGCTGATTTACCAGGCTGGCTGTCATGTCTATTGAGGAGCTTGAGTTGGCGCATAGCTCAGCACAAGGTCACAAAACAATGGCGCTTGCACAAGCCTTGACAGAGAAGAACCTGCCCAAATTCCGCTGCTTGGATATGTCAAGCCCAAGTAGGAGGGTGCAAGGACGTGAACATTCCGAGCAGTCCAGCAGTTTGCAGCACTGCATGACCAAATCTAAGCAGCTGCTGAGTTCGGATCCAAGGCACCAAGAAATGCGAGAGGCTCCTCACCAAGAACAGCTGCAGCTACGGTGACAAGTGCCAGTATGCTCATGCGGTACCCTGATCGCAAGCCATTGTCATCGGGAAAGGTTTACATTTTAGATTGGGTCTATCACCACGGGGTCACTCTGACTTGTTGTTGCATTAACATATCCTCAGCGCGAAAGTATTCCCTATCCAACTAGCCCTTTTCGCTGCGCAACATGTAATGTTGCCACACTGGCCTGAGGTGCCTCGTCGCAATCCGCAAAAGGCCGGACCAAAGAGTTTCAGAGCGCGATCCAACACAACACTTACATGAAGGGGCTTGTCATGTTCAAGAGACAGATCTTGTGATGGCAGCTGTTTCGCTCAACCCTGAGGTGTCCTACTCGCCGCAGATGTGCCCCAACTTTCAGAACTGTCCGAATGGCGACAACTGCTTGGAGGCACATGTTCGAAATGTCGTTCTGAAGTTGCAACATGTAGGCTGCGAGTTCAGAGGAAGCAAATGCAGCTGCATGCGCTGCACACATGCACAACGTTTCCGCCCGGTCCCATCCGTTGAGTCTCGCAGCCCTGGCCACCTACTCAGGCACACACCGTGGAGGAGCACAGAGTCGGCATGCACAAAGCGCATAGCATTACACTACTGCTTTCTGCTGTCAGATCTCCACCGCTCCTCTGGCAGATCATGTTGTCATGTTGGTCAGCAGCACTTTGGGCATTGTAATGTGGCAAGCGAAGCCTGGTGTTAGACAGGAAGCCTTGTTCCATCCGGCCGTGTACCGCACGCGTATGCGCCCTGAAAGGCCCGACCTTTTCAGCATCTCCAGTTTAATGGAAAGGGTTTAGGGTTTCTGTTTTTGTGCTACTTTGGACATTATAACTTGCTATTATCAGTATCCCTCGACGCTCTCTGGTGTACCCAAACAACCTTTACAAAAAGATGCTTCTAGATGTTCTGCTCAAAATCTTACAGCCAACTCGAGTGTTCAACATCGTCGTACAACGCCGCATATGCGTGCTTTTCAATTCGGCGACGACACAGCATGCTGATAGCACAATAGATCTGAAGTCAAAGCCAATCGCAGAATTGCATGAGAACCGGGAACAGAAGGGCTTCCTTTGCATGTGCTTCTAAAGCTGCGGAGGCTGTGCCTTAAGTACTACTGCCCATTTGCTCATTCTGAAGAAGAGCTCCGACCTGGAAAGCCCTTTGATTCTGGGCTTGTGATGATTTGTGCATGTTTGTGTCGCAGATCATTCGCAGGCTGACATCTGAACGTATCTGCCTCTGAGGAAGTGCCACCCCCAGCGCCGCCCCCTGTTGCAGATTTGCCGCCGGCCCCGCCTGCGCATTGCACTGGGCCCTTGCAGCCTGGGGCTGTGAGGCGCTGGAACAAGGTGCTCTGCCTCATGTCGCGAGTGTCTAGAAATTCGTTGTAATGTGCATAACGCAGTGAATCAGCCCTAGAAACTGCAATCCTGCTCCTTGGGTCTGTGCTGTTCATGGATGTGGCAGTGATGCCAGAAGTAGCGATGATTTTGTTGCTGCAAGTCCACATAGTTGGGTGTGTAACAGGCTTGGTGGATTCTGCGACGTGGTTTGTACCAGAAATGCCCGGCTTGCGGTAAAAACGACACCTTTTTCCCACAAAGCTTTTTTTGGGGCACACCTGTGCCAGGCATTCTTGACAAAGGTACGTAGCAACAGGCCGCGACAAAGGGGTATGTAACAGGAGGTGCGTGGGGGAAGCCGGGCTTTTGATGCACAGCCACGTGCCAGCGTTTCATTTTGGACACAAGGCAGGCCCCCACTTAAACGCTCAGTTCAGATGATTGACCTTTGACAGCTGTATAATCATGACATGGTAACCACCTGCCAACAGCACAAATCCAAGACAAGCTCGAAGTATCAACGAGCAGCATGAGGTGCATGGCAGTTTAAAATTAAGAAGACAGCAATTGGCAAGTGGAGAAGAGGAAATGTCTCTTTTTGATGTGCAGACAACGCATGACCTTATGCATTGACATGCGCGAGGACCTGGCACGCAACTGGTGGGCTGCCGGGGATCAGAAGGACCTGTACGTCCGCCTATCGGGCGAGGCTGGACCTCTTCGGCTACTGTAGAGCACTATAGTAACAGTAATAGTAACAGCAACAGTAAAATTAATAGTAAAGCAATAGTAACAGTAATAGTACAAGTAATAGTGAAAGTAATAGGAATAGTAAATAGTAATAAATAGTGACAGTAATCTGATACTTCGCCCCAGCGCTCAGGTGCCATCCCTGCAGTCCTACGGACGAGAGCTTTTGGGTGGCCTCGTGCGTCCAGCGCTGCATTTGCCGTGTCCAAGTGGAGGTCCCGTTCATAACGCACATGTTGCAGGTGAGTAGTATTTTATTTGGGGATACTATGGTACCCATTATAGAGTGAGATAGAGTAAGATTAAATCCTCCTGTTGGGGTATAGTATTTTATATGAGGAACATAGTCTTACTAGGTTCAACCACCAAAAAAGCACCACTCAGGTGTTCCCCAGAGTTGCCCCTCCCTGCAGGGTGGGAAGAAGCTTGCTTTGCCAAGCTGCTGTCAACGACAAGGAAGCAAACAATTTGCTGTGCTCTCAGGAAGCTGTCAGCGGCTTTTGCTCTTTCGTGAGGACTGAGGCGCCGTTTGCCAACATGGTGGTCAAGGACCTCAAGCGCCCTGTACTAGCATCATGTTGAGTTTGCAGGCTTGCTTTGTAAATTCGGACAGTCATATGGATATCCATATAGTAGTTTCCATTTTCTTTTCGATTATCCCTATACAATCCCAATATTCCCCCCATATTATTATTGCCCAATAAAACCCCAATATGGCTCAGCATGATCGATTCCAG